GGGGTGCCGGTGTGCGCGTCCATGGGTGGGTGGCAGGGCGCCGGCGCCAGCGCGCGCGGGGCGTACGAGGAGGAGAGAAGAGAGTGCGGCGCAAGCGCTCGAGTGTGCCGCACGCTGTAGCGGGCGCCCGAAATACACCGCGCGGGACAGTGTTTCCGACCGCACGCCCAACTCGTTATAGCGCGCGCGCCGTTTTTGCACGCCCGCTCGAGCGACCCGCCGCGTTGCGCGCGCGCGCTAAAACAGACTAATTTGCGGCGCGGCGTTAGTTTAGCGCGGCTGTTGGAGATGCTCTTAAATGCAAATAGCGCTTGCCAAACTATCTGTGCTGTGTTAACTTAGTGCTTACTATATATAGTACTTCAATTACTAATACATCATTGCCAATACTTCAGACGACCTCAACACCCACCCAGCAAAGCGAGCTATGTGCCTGCCTGTCATAACAAGAGCAGCATATGGTAAGCATTTATTTAGATAAAAAGAACAGCTATAGCACCAAAAACAAAATTTCATAAACTGGATAAAAGGCTTGTATGGATAAAAAGCTTGTATAGACTAATGGAAAGTCTGTCAACTCTTAAAAAAATCATATCATCCAGTTATAAGGTTTATGTTCATAGATGAGTTTTGTAGGCTTGGTGCAAACAAAACTGACGACCTCCATTCTTTTACGGTAGTGTTGTACACGTATAGATGTATCTGGTTTACAGTGTGTGCAGTCTTGCGGTCACCGTTCAAACTGGACCACACTTTTGCGTACACAACCAAGGAAACCGTAAGTTCTACAGTAAGCATCTCGCAAGCTGCTTACAGCAATAAGCAGACAGTAGGTCCATCCTGCAAAACTGATATCCTTCAGCCATGAGGTTTATATTCATAGATGAGTTCTTGGTACAAACAAAACTGACGACCTCCATTCTTTTAGGGTACTGTCGTACACGTGTAGATGTATCTGGCTTACAATGTGTTTAGTCTTGCGTTCACCGTTCAAACTATATCGTACTTTTGCATTCACGACTAAGGAAATCGTAAAGTCTACAGCAAGCATTTATCACTGAATCCAAAATGCAAGTATGGCAAGAGATATGAAGTTACTCACTCGTAGCAATTAGGCTATGAGCATCGAATTAAAGTTAACAAAAGGAGATTAGAAACATCACCAGTTAAGTGGGGCTTCATTTCACATTCTATCCACTCAGCCGCTTCCTGGGATTGGAGCATGTGTCGCCTGTCGTCGACTGGCGAGGTATTCTTCATAGTCCGAATCACTCTCAGATTCGCTAATCCATCCATAGCAGGGACGCCCTGCTCTACTAGTTCCTGTAGCTGCAGGAGGTGCCATTGTAGCCTCAGGAGCAGGCGGGTCGATGAGCATAGGGTCTACTCCCTCAACTGATAACTCAGCCCCAGGTGGCATCTCATTGTGCATGTCCACAATTGGCATGTCACTTGCTGTTCGTGCCTCAGAGGTTGCTGCTTCGTTTTGCTGCATTACACACCAACCAAGACCAGTTAAGAATTGCACACAAAGCCTCAGTTTAGAGCTAAGCATGAAATTATATCACAACAGCTGAACTAAAGTTGGGTACAACAGGGAACACACTTTTGTCAACCCAGAATGCATATACAAATATACTCCATGGTGAAACATATTTGGCTACCCAACAATTCATCTGACACTGAAGCACGACTCCAGTTCTAACTCAAAGACATCCAAACAACTTATATTCAAGAGATTCAATTCCAATTGCCTAATTATGGGCTCAATTCAAAGAACCAGACAGGGTTAAAAAGGGAATTCTACTGCTTCATGATAGAACGCAACTTAAAATGCACGACCCAGTTCACCAGCCAACTGTAACAGCATAAATGTAGAAATCAAACAAATGATTCGTTTTCCTCTGGCTTTTTATGTATAACTAAGTTTGTATGTCAAGAACGCATCGAAATGTAAAAGGTAATTACCAGAAAATAAGGAAATTATGAGAGAACGTATGGACAATTAAGGGTGAAGAAATCAACAGCAAGAAAAAATGCATCAATCATGGAAATAAGTGAACCCTACTAAACTCCATTTTCGCCTACTCAACTTCCGTATACCATGTTATTTTAACACTAGATAGCTTTTTCGTGAATAATACATAACTACAGCTAACCTAACTAAAACAGCAAGCAATGAGAACGTGTTAGTTTGTAAACACTTGGACCAAAGCCTGAAGCCTAAGGGCATCTCTAGCAGATCCCTCAAAAGTTATATGTGAGAGAGAAATTTCTGTTTTGAGGGTGCTATCTAGCAGATCCCTCAAACCTTTACTTCCTCAAAAAATTGACTTTGTATCCCTTAAAAGTTTCCCCAATTGCCTATTTTTAGTCCAGAGAAGCCACTTCTCAGGATAAGAGCATCTCTGACTGATCCCCTATAGGGGAAACGCCCGAGTATATTATAAGGAGTTAGAGGGTGGCCGTTTCTAACCGATCCTGTATATTGAAGTCCCTACAAAAATTCTGCTCAATTCTTTTAGCCTTGTAACACACATTTCAAACAATTGCATACTATTTCATCAATCATATAGGGGATCTGCTAGATTTAGAAAAGTTTAATCCCTTAAAAATTATAAGGAAATGAGATAAGAGATACATTTTGGACTTTTAGAATAGGGGATCTGCTAGAGATGCCCTAACATACAATAGAGTAGCCTTCATAACTTAGTGTGCTGCTACTTACGGAAAGAAATTAATGAACGAATTGTATGGATAAAAAAGAAGTTGCATCAACGAGCTATAATGATTAACTAGTAGAGAACAAACTTGTAGCTTAGTTATGAAATGAAATGCATCCCTCCTATTTTCTTTAAACCATTAAAAGGAACTCCGAATTTCCAGTGCATTGGGAAAGTCAAACTGTGTACATGTTGTCACTTGGAATACATTAAAAGTACAGATCAATTGACCCAAAAAAGTAAGATTGGGAACATAAAGGTTAATTGTGTTTCTTTTAGAGAAAGAGGCAAACCAAATTGATGGATGAAACCTGAAAACTAATCAGAAACAAGAACCACACGTGTGAGATAAGCACACAAAATGACATCGAGAAGGGAGCTCACTTTAGGCTTCTCCTGCTGCTGCTGCTGCTCTTCCTGCTCCTGCTTCTCAAATAGCGCGTCCTGCACGACCCGGTAGTCGTCTTCCTTCAGGAACGACGAAGCATCCTCCCCATAGACCTGATCAGAGCAAACAGCCAAATCATGTCCTTGGAACCACAAGGAAGAATCTCACGAGCTAGTGTCGATCGACCAACTCCTCAATCGGTTGAGGAAACCGCGGTAATAGAGAAAGGGGACATTAGAAGAAGCAACACCCCGGTAATAGAAAAATGCCGATCTCTGAGACAGTATTCGAGGTTACTGAACCAAACAGATACACTGGGATTCGGGTGCCACAGAGAGGCGGAAAAGGGCGAGGGAAGGGAACCTCGATGAGTTGCCCGACGGTGCTGCGGATGTCGGACTCGGCGTAGCCCATCCGTCCGAAGTGGTCGATGGCCCCATGCATCAGCTGGTCCGCCTTCGTCGGCCTCCCGCCCCCGCCTCCGCGCCCGCGCCCGCTCCGCCCCGACATTGCTGGGGTTTTCCTCTCGTTGGCTGTAGAGTAAAGAATGGGGAATGGGTAATGGGGAATCAGCAAAGCTTCGCCCACGCACCGTTTCAGGGCCGTTGGATCTGTGAAGGAAGGTTAGGATCCATTCCCGGTGTCTAATTTCTTGTGTGATGAAATGAAATCACCCTGAAATCAGAAGATTTAAGCCAGATTTGAAATGCAGTAACTGGAAAAGTGTAGAAATACAACAAAAATATGCTATGACTTGCTGAATTCAATGGAAACAAAACCAGGGAATTATTGAGAATAAACCCCATTTTTGCAAGGGAGGATCTTGGGCTGGGGCTCCAGCCCACTTACTATCTTAATAATGTTTTTGTTTGTCATGAAAGGATTTATGATTTTTAAGGGATATTAAAATTATGCATCATTTTCATCGTTGATGTATCATCAAAACTATGTCTCTTATTGGAATATATTTAAGAGATGTTTTTTAGACTATATGTGGTATTGCTCTTTCGCTAGATGTGGAGCAGCAGTTATTAACGGGAAGAGATACGATAGAATTGCCACACCATCGCAGGGGCGTGGTAACGGGTGCCCTGAAAGTTGGCGATGAAGCGCTCGCGAAGCTCATCCCAAGAGGAGATTGATCCCTCCGGGAGGTGCGGGATCCAGGAGCGCACGCCGTCCTTGAGGGCCATGGGGAACCAGTTTGCCATGACCTTGCCGTCACCATTCGCCGCCTCGATGCTCAGCGAGTAGAGCTCGAGGAACTCCGCAGGGTCGGGGGTGCCGTCATAGCGTGGCAATAGGTCTGGCTTGAACTTGCCGGGCTAGGCAACGCGACGCAGTTCCGGGGTGAAGGTGCGGCAACCCGCCACACTCACGGGCGCGACACGCACGAGGGGGGCTTGGTCTTGACGTCCGCTCGCCGCTGCCTCTGGCAGTGCGTGGTCTTGATGCTGCACGGTGGCGCTGGGAGCGCACGTGCGTCACCTTGTGACCGCTGCACCACCTGGCAGCTTGCCTCATCGTGCGCCGGGCCCCACATGGCGGGTCACGCGGTTGCGCATCGCGCCTGGGCTCATGGTCGGCGCCGCGCAGAGGAGGAGGAGGAGGTGTGCCATGGGCTACGTAGCCCGCCTGGGATGGCGGGGGACGGAGCAAGCGAGATGGCGCAGGGACCTCGCCGTCGGCGTTGACAAGCTCGGCGATGCGGCCAAGCCAGTAGTCGTAGCGGTCATTGGCGGGGCGGTAGCGCAGTAGCTCGCGCGCCATGAGCGGCGCAGCCTGCGCGTTCGCTGTCCCGTGGCGGACATGGGAGGACGACGCTGTGGCAGGAGTGGGCGACGGAGTGGCGGTGCGGCCATCACGCCGCACAGAGGGTGGCAGCAATGAATTCTGTTGCTCGTGAGCAACAGGGTCAGTGGCAGCGTTAGATGCGGGAGAAGCAGAGCGGCAAGGGACACCATGGCCCACGGGCGCCATCTGGGCGACGCGAGCAGCCCGACGCTTGGCGCATACTCGGCGCGTGTCGGCCATGGGAGCGACGAAGCAAAGACGAAGCAGGATCGGAAGGAGGATTTTGACACGCCCCTACCTTGCGTGCCAAATGTTGGATTCAGAGCTCTGCAGACCCAAGAAGGTTCAAACTCTTGGGCGTGTGTGAAGATCTCAACCAGCTCAAGCCTCAAGCTCACCACCCCACAGCGTAGCCTCGTCGAGTTCGCGCGAGCAGGGAAGAAGATGAACACAGCAGTTTACCCAGGTTCGGGCCACCTTGCGATGTAAAATGGTGGATTGCCCTCACGAGGGGGGGGGGGTTGAGGATGAAATAGTACAGTGGATGAGCAGCCTCGCGAGGGCTCGAGTGGTGTGGGTAGAATGGATCTATCTGGGGTTCGATCCGGGGATTTTTCTCTAGGTGATGGCTAGCCTATCTTTATAGTGGCCTTGGTCCTCTTCCCTCTAAACTTAGGCGGGAAGGAATTCCACAACGACCAATTTGAAAGGGGACAAGAAGTACATCTAATCCTGATGAAAGGCAGTCTTCGCCTACAAAGCTTCTGGTCGTGACACAGAGGTGGGCCCGATGATGACATCTGTCCTACTGAGCTCATGGTCTTGTTCTCGTTGCACTAGAGAGGAAAGCTTTGGGGACTTCCTCGGGAACTTGTGCCTGCCCTTGCTCCCTTAGCACCGAAGTGGAAATTGTCCCTTCTGCGCCCGCTGGTGCCCGCCCGGCCTTGTGGCTCACGTCATCACAGCCTCGTGAGGCTGGGTATCTGCATAGAAGTCTCCGTCCCTCGGGAGGCAGCCTAGGGAGGTCGTTCTTGTGGAGGTCTTGGTGTCGTTCGCCTCACGAGGCTTGGGTCCTCGCAAGGGTCTTGCCTTGGAGTTGTTGTAGCTGGTCCGTACAAGGCCGTCGATGGGCCCACTGATACGTCTCCGTCATATCTACTTTTCCAAACACTTTTGCCCTTGTTTTGGACTCTAACTTGTATGATTTGAATGAAACTAACCCGGACTGACGCTGTTTTCAGCAGAACTGCCATGGTGTTGTTTTTTGTGCAGAAAATAAAAATTCTCGGAATGTCCTGAAACTCCACGGAACACCTTAGAAAAAATAAAGAAAAATCCTCGCAAAAGATGAAGACCAGGGGGCCCACACCCTGCTCACGAGGGTGGGGGCCGCCCCCCTGGGCGCGCCCCCCTACCTCGTGGGCCCCCTGGTGGCCCTCCGACGCCAACTCCAACTCCATATATTGGCTTTCGGGGAGAAAAAAATCAGAGAGAAGAAATCATCGCGTTTTACGATACGGAGCCGCCGCCAAGCCCTAATCCCTCTTAGGAGGGCTGATCTGGAGTCCGTTCAGGGCTCCGGAGAGGGGGATTCGTCGCCGTCGTCATCATCAACCATCCTCCATCACCAATTTCATGATGCTCACCGCTGTGCGTGAGTAATTGCATCGTAGGCTTGCTGGACGGTGATGGGTTGGATGAGATTTATCATGTAATGGAGTTAGTTTTGTTAGGGTTTGATCCCTAGTATCCATTATGTTCTGAGATTGATGTTGCTATGACTTTGCTATGCTTAATGCTTGTCACTAGGGCCCGAGTGCCATGATTTCAGATCTGAACCTATTATGTTTTCATGAATATATGTGTGTTCTAGATCCTATCTTGCAAGTCTATAGTCACCTATTATGTGTTATGATCCGGCAACCCCGAAGTGACAATAATAGGGACCACTCCCGGTGATGACCATAGTTTGAGGAGTTCATGTATTCACTATGTGCTAATGCTTTGTTCCGGTTCTCTATTAAAAGGAGGCCTTAATATCCCTTAGTTTCCAATAGGACCCTGCTGCCACGGGAGGGTAGGACAAAAGATGTCATGCAAATTATTTTCCATAAGCACGTATGACTATATACGGAATACATGCCTACATTACATTGATGAACTGGAGCTAGTTCTGTGTCACCCTATGTTATGATTGCTACATGATGAACCACATCCGGCATAATTATCCATCGCTAATCCGGTGCCTACGAGTTTTCCATATACTGGTTCTCGCTTATTTACTTTTCTGTTGCTACTGTTACAATCACTACAAAATACCAAAAACATTACTTTTGTTGTCTTTACTTTTGTTACCGTTACTACCACTATCATATTACTTTGCTACTAAACACTTTGCTGCAGATACTAAGTTTCCAGGTGTGGTTGAATTGACAACTCAGCTGCTAATACTTGAGAATATTCTTTGGCTCCCCTTGTGTCGAATCAATAAATTTGGGTTGAATACTCTACCCTCGAAAACTGTTGCGATCCCCTATACTTGTGGGTTATCAAGACTATTTTCTGGCGCCGTTGCCGGGGAGCATAGCTCTATTCTTTGAGTCACTTGGGATTTATATCTGATGGACACTATGAAGAACTTGAAAGATGATCGAACTGCTATTTTGCCCTCAACTACGAGGGGAGGTAAGGAAGTGCCATCTAGCCTTGCACTAGATTCTCCTTCTATTATGAGTAAGTTTGCGACACCTAAACCTACTACTGCTATTGATTCTGATATGTCGCATGTTATTGATGATGCCACTTCTGCTATGCATGATACTTATGATGAAACTACTTCTATGCTTGATACTACTGTGCCACTTGGTGAATTTCTTGATGAGCAAATTGCTAGGTCTATAGAAAGAGAAATTATTGAACCTGAACACGATGATGTTAGTGATGATGAACCTATGCCTGCTATTCCTAAGGGTTATCTTTTTGATGCTGAATCTTCTGCAGCTATTTTTGCCTGCCAGGATAGACGTGAACTTAAGAGGTTGCTAGTTAAATGGGGTAAAGAATCTTTTAGAGGTAGAATGAGACCCGACCCTGCTTTTGCTACTTCACCTATCTGTGTGCCTGATCAGGATTATTATGATTTTTCTGTTGATCCAGATATAATTACTTTGGTTGAATCTGATCCTTTTTATGGCTATGAATCTGGAACTGTTGTGGCACATCTTACTAAGTTAAATGATATAGCTGTCCTGTTTACTAATAATGAGAGATCGCACTACCTTTATTTACTTAAGATATTTCCGTTCTCATTAAAGGGTGATGCTAAGATATGGTATAATTCTCTTGATCCTGGTTGTGTGCAAAGTCCCCAGGATATGATTTATTATTTCTCTGCTAAATATTTCCCCGCTCATAAGAAACAAGCTGCTTTGAGGGAAATATACAATTTTGTGCAAATTGAAGAAGATAGTCTCCCACAAGCTTGGGGGAGGCTTCTCAAGTTACTTAATGCTTTGCCTGATCATCCTCTTAAGAAACCTGAAACATTTGATATCTTTTATAATGGACTAACTGATGCTTCCAGAGATTACCTGGATAGTTGTGCTGGTTCTCTTTTCAGGGAAAGAACACCGGATGACGCTGAAATTCTATTGAATAATATGTTGGCTAATGAAAATAATTGGGCACCTCCTGAGCCAGCTCCAGAGCCAATTATT